TATTCTTAATATTAATTTAATTTTGTATACTTTGAATGGAATTATAGAGAATTTTAAGTATATATATTTTGTTTGAGTGGAATATTTAATAAAATTTTACATAAATATTACATTTATAAGTGCATCAAAATGTTTCCGTAGAGGATAAATGAATATAACATCCTTGAATATTTTAAATAGTAAAATTCATTTCATACATAAATGAAATCTAATGAAATTTATATTAGAGAAACACATTATTTTATTTAATAAATTTATGATTTTAGAATAGTCATGCAACTTTTTAATAATTTATTTATAATAATAATTTTTAGAACAAAAAATAACAAGTTGTATACACAGTTAAATCTGTATTGTATTTCAAAATTTAATTCACACAGAATAAAATCAAAAAAATATTTTTTATATCAGAAATTAAAAAATAATTTAATATTTTAAAATTTAATTCTATTTAAATGAATTTATTAATTTTAACTTAATTTGTCATATTTCTGAGTTATATTTTTTAATTTGCATCTTAATTCAATCGAAATATTATGCAAGTTTATATGTGTAAGTTTGATACTCCAAACAATCCTTATTTATAAACTTAAGTGATTAGTAAACAATTATCTGAAAACTTTGAAATTATAAAAGAAAAAAATTTTACTTATTTTAATTTTAAAATATTGTCGCAAAACTTACATTAAAAGTGTTTTTCTGAAAGAAAAATAACCAACATCATAAGATGTTCCCTAAAAGTATGCAATTTTCATTAGACGTGGTAAAATACTTAAATTTCTTATAAAAACTTAACAAATTTATAAATGCTGCTATGAAAAAGAAGAGGAGAAAATGGTTACCCACCTTTGATATGCTCATATAAGGCACTGGCGAACTCCACTCAGAGATTTCTAGGGTTTTACTTTTTCGGGCGCGCTACGTACTTAACGAATGTGAACGTAATGGATTTCAACCGGTTTTTGAGGAGCTTGGGCTGGTTCGAATGAGGTACAGGGAAGGATACATCCAGCAGTACTACAACGAGCCTAAGTGGCCTATGTTTACCCTTCTGGGGGACCCCGACACACTAACTTAATCTAACCTATATTATAATGAAACTTCAAATAACCATACTATTAATTATAATAATAATAACAAATATAATTAGTTTTATATAGTTAAACTCCTTCAATATTTAATTTCAAGTGTGGAAGGATTTGCTAAAATATTAAAAATATTATGTTGATTTATTACTAATTATTTGTCAGAATAGAAAATATTCTACATTATACCGGAAATTTATATTTATTATGAAAAAAAAAACAATTTAAATTGCTATCTAAATAGTATGAATAATATTGAAATTCACCACTGTTAATAAATTGTAATTAAGATTATTTTAATTTTGCATTTTAAACATGCAATTTTCAAAAAATTCTCAGATTCCATGGCAAAATTATTAAAATGGTTCATAAATTAACCACATACAAATGTGAGTTAAATTTATATGTGAAACTTGTTTAAACTGAAAAAAAAAATAAAATTCTTTTGTATTTCTTTAATCTCTACAAAATATTCGGATGCTGTGCCATTCTTTTTTACCGACCGTATTGTGTAAACAATAGGTAGGTTATGTGATGGCAACAAATTTTGCATATCGAGTTTTCGGTGGGAACGTACTTCTCCATAGTAGGGAAGTGTAAATAAACTATTTTTAGCAACCTGTCGGTCTGTCGGTCTGTCGGTCTGTCGGTCTGTCGGTCTGTCGGTCTGTCCGTCTGTCGGTCTGTGTGTGCACGCGTGTATCTCAAGTTCGGCTGAACCGATTTTGATGAAATTTTATATGTAAGTTTATTTCCACCATGGCACGGATCGATCAACTTTTGGTATATATCAGGCCTCGGGAACTGCACTTTTTAGCGGGCCTGTTTTACATTTTTGAGCATATTTAAGAACATATTCAACCGATTTACTTGAAATTTTATATATAAGCTCAGCTCGACCGGCGATGAAACCTCCTAATTTTTGGAAGAAATCAGGCGTCAGCAACTGGACGTTCACTACGGGCCAAATATACATTTTTGTGTATATAAAGAGAAATAATCAACCGATTTCATTGAAATTTAATATTTGAATTCCTTGTATTAAAACAATGAACATGTAAATTTTTTAGAAAGATCATGGCTCGAAAACTGATCTGCGGGCCGATTTTACATTTTTCACCATATCTACGGAACGAATTGATGCAGTTTCTTGAAATTTGATATTTGAGTTCTGGTTGTTACCGAAACTAACTGGCGAGCATTTCAGGGAATTCGGGTAGCACAAAGCGAAACTCTACTAAGAGCCAAATTTACATTTTTCTGGGTATGTTAACTATAAGCTTACTAATGTCCTAGAAATTGGAAAGAAGTATTTAACAGACATTTTTATAATATTCTGTAACACTTTCACTTAACTAGACAATAATCATTGCGGTCGGTTATGTGCTGACCACATCAGATTTTTTTTATGCTTCTTTAAAAAAAAGGAAAGAAATAAATTTCATTGTTAACATTAATTCAGAATTGTTAATTTTCCTTTTTGTGTACTGGTTTTTATTATAAGAAAATTTCATTATTTCAAAAGTTAAAATTTTATAATGCAAGTGTAGTTTTATTTTAAAGACAAAAAATAAAAAATATAAAATTCAAAAATTAAATAACCTCAAAAGAATTAATTTCAAAAAAAAAAAGAGAATTTTCATTTTAAATTCTTCAGAAGGTAAGAAAAGAAATAAAAAGTAAAAAAAAAAAATTCTTTTTCTGTTATACCGGAGAAATAAGAACAACAATAAAATACATTTTACATACACACATAATACATACATATTTATATTTTTATGTTTTCTGTTTTTTTCTTCAAAAGTCCTTAAAATGTGTACTTATATTATAATTCTTGTGAATAATCTGAAGAAGAAGCATATTAAATTAAAAATAAAAATATAAAAAAATAAAAAAAAAATTTAAGAATATGAAGAGAAAAAAACTAAAAATATAAGGTAATTTTTGATACCTTTACTTACCTTGTACTAAATAAAAAATTCTCTCATCTTTATCCTTATTTTTTATATTTTTTTTTTAACTATTTTATCTGTAGATTTTCAAAAAATTTATGTAAGAATATATGTAATTTAAAAAAATATACATAATTACATTTTGAGATATAACAGTAAACGTTACAGTTTTCGAACAATTTTGCAATAATTTTTGCATTTAAATTTTCATTACAATATAAATTTTATTAATGTCAGCTACATTGTGTAAAATACTTATGCAATATTGTAACTGAAAATCTAAAAATATAAATTGCATATTATGCAGTTGCAATTCAAGATAGGCTCGATTTTCAAAAGTGATATGATTATTTTCCTTATCATTTTGAGATATCATAATTAAACAGTATATACAGAATAATTCCTCTTAATTATGAGATACTTGTCAAAGAATTCTAGTAGTCCACACCTTTTTGTTATAAGACATATGATATTATAATAGAGAAATTAAACAAGTCAATGCTATTTACCATTCTAGAACTTAATTTTCTTAACATAATTCATAATTCTGTTCATTATACTACCACTAAGTTAAGAAATATAGCCTAACGCGTATTAAGCATAACTACAAAATTCTGCACAAAGGAAATTTAATTCTCAAATTGAATTAAAACAAAAAATCATTTATTGAGATAATTGAGTAAATAATTGAACATATTGTACCTGCCAACAATTTATTAAGATTCCCTTCTATTCCTTGGTTCCGTAAAGACTTTGTCACTTCATAATGACTTCTTAATTAATTGCAATTACCATAATTTGAAGAAATATTTTGAAATATAGTTATAAGAGAAGCAAAAAAATTTTTTTGTCCACAATATTTTGTAATAAAATATAAATGGCATTTTTAATGAATTCTACTGTTTGTTCTTCATATTATTTTTATAAATTTAAACTTATACTATCTCTAGACAAGTACAGATACATACATAAACAATAAATAAGTATAGCATTTAATCCTAGTGGAATTTAAAATATTTTTACTGTTTTTTATATTTTTGTATGTAATTTTCTTTATATGTGTATAACTTCAGCCATTATATGAAAGGCAAAGAATGTAAGTTAAAATCACGTGAATCAAGGATGCGTGAATATTGATATTTTGTTGTCTTTTATTGTTTTTTTTTTTTGTTTGTGGCTCTTTGAGCGTTTTACATATGTATGGGGGCGTTTTGTTAGTATGTATAATTTAATGTATTCTATAATTTAGAAAAAAATTTTTGTATACCAATTTATTTTATATTTTTTTCATATTTTATTTCTTTACTGTAAGCTATTTTGGTTGTTCATATTGTATATTTTCATATGAAAGATAAACTCTTTTTGATCCTTGTATCAGAATAAAATTCATGATTTTATATAGATATGTATATGTATATATTATTTGAATTTTTATGAAAAATATTATTAAATATTATTATGCTTATTTATACTTACAAACATTTATGCATATCGAACATGGATTTCAAGTAATAAGAATATTTTTGAAGTAATATTTTATTAAATATATTATTATAATTTCAAAATGTAAGCAAGAATATGCAAAAATATGACATTTTTCATTTTGAGAAACTGATTTTCAAATGTTGTTTTAAAAGAACTAAAAGTGGCTTGTTAGAATTAGTTCTAATTTATAATTTTAATGCTTTCATTGCCATTCCAATTTGTGAGCTGTATATAGAATTTTTCAATAAAATTGAGTTTAGTTTAATTATATTATGCGGTTTTGTATTGAGGGTAGCTCTTATAAATTATATTCAAGTTAATATCCTAATCTTTTAATATATAAATCCAAATTAATTAAATTTTTAAATTCAATAATAATTATGTAATTAACTTTTATGATAAATAAAATAATTTTAAAATAATTTAGAAATCAAAATATGTTAATTAATTAATTCACATTTTTTTAAAATATTTTCAGGGTGAATGCACGGCGTCTATTGTAAATAGGGTGCAAGAAGGTCCCGGTCCACCAAAGTGTCCCCAATCGTGTAGTAGTATTTCTATTGATAATAATTATAATGAAGATACTAAATTAAGTAATAAAAATACAAAAACTAATAATAATAATAACGTTGTCATAAATAGTCATATGAAATTAAATAATTTAAATTATATTAACCAAAATTACAAAATTAGTAATATTGATAGTGAAAATAATAATAACAATAATAATAATAATAATAATAACAATAAAATGATGGGTAATGAACACCAACAATTTCAACAACAACAGCAGCAAAACCAACAACAATTACATAAAAAACAACAGAAAAATAATAATAATAATTATAATGAAGAGGAAGAAGAAGACCAACAACAACATCAAGAAAGGTATAAAAGATCAAATAATAATGAAAATAATAATTATGAATCATCGAATATTGATATAAATGATAATAATAATATGTATTATGATGATTATAAAGAAGATGAATATTCAAGAATAGAATTTTATCAAGATCAAGATAAAAGAGATTATAATGATGAAAATAATAATAGTAATAATAATAATAATAATAATTATAATCAGCAACAACAGCAACAACATTCACAGTGCCTTGATTATTTGGGCGATGGCGATGAATTTAAGCCTGAAAAACTATGCGAAAAATCACATAATGAATTAGTTCATTTATTACGTTCAATACGTTTAAGGACATGTTGTGAACGTGATTTATTTAGTGCATTACATACAATTGCATTAAATAAAACATTATCAAATCGTAATGAATGTATTGATTTATTAACATCATTATTAGAATTGGATAATTTAGCATCACGTATAGTATGTGAATTTACAGAAATATTACAGCGTTATGATTGCCGACAAGTATTTTCATTAATACATCATTGTGAAGATTGCAAGGTAAGTTAATTATATAATAAATTTTTAATTTTTAAAATTTAATTCAAATATAATAATAATTACAATATCTTTTAAATAATTAATATTTACATTTACCTTATAAATTATCATAATTTTAAGCCTCTACCAAATTTACACCTTAAGTTCAGTTTTACTCGCTTAAGACTGCATTAAGGATAACAGAAATTCGATAATTTTAAAAATATATGGAATCTACAATTATTATTTTTTAATGTCTACTTTTGTAAACATTAGTAGTAATATGTAAATATAGTTAGAACATTATTATTTTACTAAATATAACAACTGGTATATCATTAATAATTTAGTAATGCCATGCCATAATAGAAGAAATACCGATTTAATTTATATAATAAATGTTGCTAAGACATCTAATTTAAAGCTACCAGCAATTGTGGCAGCCTTAGATGTCTCAGTATAAAATTTAAAAAGTAATAAGAAATATGAACGTTTTTACATCACATGTGCCAAATACCCAAAATACGAATAATTGAAATTATATGAATATTTTTCTTTAATTTGTGTTTTAAAATTTAAATATTCCTTATAACATAAAATAATAATGAGGTCTTTCATTTTCTTCACATAAATACCGTAAAGACTATTTGGGTTACCTTTCTTTACTTACTCAATAACTTATTTGTTGGTCGTATTGAAAGTTTAAGGAAGAAAATTCATAGCTACTTGCTATGGATCCTTCTTGCGAATTTTATAAAATTATAAAAATATTTCAAATTCATAAGTCGTTCTTTGTGTTGGAAAAAGGAAAAGTTTTTAATTAAAAAATACAAACTTGAGTTGTTTAAAAAGTGAACTAAACCGCAACATAATTCTTTATTTGTTATAATTATATTACGAATGTTTACAAAATATTAAAAATAAAACTAAATAGGGTGTTTCACTCTTTGTTTTTAAAATATTTAAGAATTTCAGATATTTGGCCCATTGATTTTAATTTAGGAATTTTTTATATTTGAAATGGAACAAGGAAAGGAAAAAATTGAGCATCGCTTTGCACTGATTATTTGTAAAATTTTTATGTACAAAATAAAATTCGGAATTGAATATTTTAATTTTTCCTTTAGTATTAGAAGAGAATCAGTAATAATGAGAGTAACATATCAGTTTTTTTAATAATCATTTAGAGCAATCAATTTGTACACAGTCTGCTATTTACTGCCTCAAAATGTCTGTCCATAAATAAATTACTAATATTATAACAGTTTCAATAATTTATTATTACTGCAATTATTTTAAATAATTATTTTGCTCATAAAGCGAGAAACACCTTGTAAACAATGTTGCAAATACAATTTACTTAATTTTAACTTTTTAAGTTAAAAATATCGTTTTAGAAAACCAATGTTAAAGTAACCTCCATAAAATGTTAATTAAAAATAAACAGGAAATTTTTTTTTTAAATATTTATTTTTTAACTTATTTGAAAGCATTGCTTATTAGTAAGGGTTTTTTTTGGAATTTAACAAATACAATGTTTGTTAAGGGCTGTATTGATTAAATATTATAAAAATAGATTAGAAATACAATTTTCCAGTGTGTGAGCTAGTTTTGAAGAAAAAAAATTTTAAGAGAATGAACGGATTATAAAAAAAAATATAAATATTTGATTTATTTCTAGTGCATTGTAAATTTGCCTAAGAAAAAAAATAATTCTATTAAATTTTAAAAATTTCAAAAAAATAAAAGAATTTAGTTTGTATTAACTTAAAAATAAAATTTAACACAAGCCTCCAAACAATAGATTTCAAACCGGTTTCGATTAACGTTCATCAATTTAGATTAATTTAGTCTCGATTTCGTTAGTTGAATAAATTATTCTTAAATTTCGAAATATCTGCGAAAAATTTAAATTGTAAAATTTAAGTAAAGTTTAACAAATTCAAATTCTACTTTTTCATATTATAAACAAAGGGTAAATTTTGGAAATCAGGGCTTGATTTAAGGAAAGAGATGAACTTCAATTAAAATTTTCCTAAAAGCAGTTGCATCACAGAGCAACTTCAATTTGGAATTAATTTTAGCATCTTATTTATAAAATTGAGTCGGTTTGAAATTTTTAATTCAGAAATTTATTTATCATGCTTATTTCCCTTGAATTTTCTTCCATTTTACCTACCGTTAATATTCCCCCATATCATTTGCATATTTTTTTTTTCATTCTCCCTTATTTTTTGCTATGTTAAATTTAATTTTTTCCTATTTTTTTTTTCGTTTTTTTTTTGGTTTTTATTTTTCCCGCAAAAACTCATGTTTTTTTCCGCTTCAAAAACCACAAAAAAGGACTTTTAACTTTATAAAAGTGAAATATTTATAAATAAATATTTTCAGAGCATCATGGAACTATCAAAGTAATGCAAACACGCAAAAAACAGAAAACAAAAAAAAAACATTTATAAAAATTTTTACTGCAAATAATAAATAGGAATATGAGAAAAACAATAGGAAAAATGTTAATTTATAAATTGGTAAAAATTTAATTCTCTTTAAAAAGAAAAAAACAAACTCGGAGAGAAAATCAAATTTAGTTAGAATAGAGTACAAGGTATCCAGATTTTAAGAGAAAACCCATATTTGTAACAATCATATTAGAGAGGAATCCAAGTCGTGTAAGATTTTAGGGGATATTTGTTAAAAGCAAATAGAAAATTTCTTCTTATTTGAACAAGAAAATGTGAAATCATCCTTTCAACAAGTTTTTAGAAAATATTCAAATAAATTTAAGATAAACAAAATAGAAACATAAGAAATTTTGATAAATTAGAAAGCAGCTCACCTACCAACTTAATCCTTGATTTATTACAGAATCTAAAACATTAAAGAAATTCCAAAAATTGGCACTGTTTTTTGTGTAACTTACTCTTGAAGTGGAATCGAAGGACTGTACTTTTAAAACATATATTCTTATATTTATGTTTTTCGGCAAATATAGTAATATCTTTTTCGTATTATGTTTATTCGAGTTATGTTCGAGTATTCGTATTCGTTTATTCGTATTATGTTTTATACAAAGTTTTACTACAGATCTTTGAGTGTATTCGTTACCAACTATATTAATCACATGTTTCTGAACATAATTAAATTATTATGAACAATTCTAACATTTCTAATCAAAAAGCATACATTTTCGATTATAAAAAAATTAAAAGAAAAAGAAAAATTCTCGATAATCTGTCTCAATTACAAATAATTTTATGTGATTGAGCAGTTGTCAGGGTAATTAGTAAAATCGCTCCATCGCTATATGAGGAATATGGATCCTTATGAATTTATGTTATGGGACAAAATGTTTTATTATTTACACATCTTACTTTCATGTACAATATTTTTGGCTAGTTTAACACTTTTCATCAATTTTTTTTTTTTACAAGAATGATGGGCCGCATGTTGTCTATGGGTCGCACTTCACCTACTGCTGGTGTACGGTATTCTTAATGGATAGAATAAATTTTGTAATAACTAATAGTTACAAATTAATTTATGAATCATATTTATTACATTATAGTTAACTGAAAAATTTTGCAAACACTTTACTCTATTTTTTGAAACTAAATTATTGTCAGAAAAATTTCGTACTACTATTTGTAGTATTTAAAATTAGAAGTATTTAAATATAAAAAGCTATTTCCAAAATTTATTTGGAATTTGATTTATATCAGGGGACTATTTCTAGTTACTGATTAAATAACGATGAATAAAATTGTAATCCTAATCAAAATTAAATTTTAATGCAAGAATTTGTGTAAAATAAAAATTTCCCTTAAAATTAAATTAATTTTCATAGTTAAAGATTACCTCTGATAGCTACAGAATATTTAAACAAAAACCATTTAATTCAATTTCATTTCGATTTTCACAAAGTCATTTTCAAACCATTTCAACTGAGCAGAACACATACATTATGTAATTTTTATGAATAATGGCAAATGCCGATTCAAATTGAAATTCCCATTAATGACGTAAAAAAAAAATATAAAGAACAGTAAAATAGTAAGTAATTTTTTATACTATAAAAATATTTTTTTCATTTTTATTTTCATTCTGCTAAAATATTCATTATTTTGCTGGAGAAAAAGTAATCACACAACTTTTCTAATAATTTTTTTGCAAACTTTTCTTTCTGTATTTTAAATATTAGGTAATAATTATTATTTTTTTTATAAAAATTGGAAAAAGTAATAAAAATGAAAAAAAAAACAACGAGAACTTAAATGTAAAATTAAATAAAAACAAAAAAATAAAATGCTGACGTCTCTTCATTGAAGATTATAACATTAACAATGAAAAATTTCAATGGTTATGACCTAACAATGGCTGTTGGGTAATATTAAACAAAAGATTTTTTCTTCCTTTTTTTTCGAAATATTCAAAAAAACAAAAAGCATTTTTATAAAACTTTTATCGAGTGCATTATGAAAATATTTTTTTCGCGTAATATAAAACTAATTTTTAAAGGACTTATTTAATTTACTCCAACTCTAGGATATCAAAATTTAAATTATCAATATTTGTCAGATTCTTAAAATCATTCTTAAAAAGATTTTTAAAATTATTTGGAACGAGTTTGAAGAGCTCGTGCGTAATGTAAAATTTTCATGTAACGTTTCATAACAATAAGATACCTGCCTTATTGTTATACCTTAAAAACTGCAGTTATTTTAGGAAAACACCAAAATAGAAAAAAAATTCATTGTATAAATAGTTGTAATATCTAAATTAGGTACTATTCTGTCACCCCATCATCTTTCCAGTTACTATCTATAATAAAAATTCATTATGTCCAATAAAGCCAAAGTTACAGTCTACATTTATTAAAGTCAGACAAAAAAAAAATTCACTTTATAGAGCCTCGTAACTCTTAACCGGTTTAGATAGACGCCTATTATGAATGCCTACTATGAAACAATGTTTTTTCTTTACAAACGAAAATTTACACGCTGATATACATACTGTATTCATCA